TCAAAGAAAATAATAATAATAATAATAATAATAATAATAATAATAATAATAATAGCTAACTGCCCAGATATAGAAATCAAAGACCATAAAATAAACAAAATATAGTTTCTTCTTCGCATGGCAATTTCTACAGACTTTAATGCAGCGTTGAAGATCTTCAACAACTACCAATATAAAAAGATCTTGAAATGGAAATGTGGCATATGAAGATATCAATAAATCTTTTGCCAGTAGGGTCCTAAATATATATTTATATATATATATATATGGAATGATTGCGCCAAATCGCTTTGGGGCATTTCTTTAGACACTTTCAAGGGCGTTGTTTTGGTGTTGTTAGGTTATTTTCATGTTTTGACTGTGTGAGATGTATTATTCGTGTATTATTTGTGAATTGTAGTAGGAGCATAATTCCGAACCATCGTGTGTTGGGCATGAATGAAATTCGAATGGGCGACTTTCAATTTTTAAAAGACTTTCAGCTCTCAGTTACCATTGTTAAAGAAGGTTAGGTTGAAGATATGGGCAGGTTTTGTACTCGTTCACTCCCACAAAGCGAAGAATGTACAAACGCTAGAAAAACTAAATAAATAAAAAAAATAATAAAAGTCACTTTATTTGTCATATTTAACGAAAGAATTTTAAAAGAAAAAGACCAAAAAATTTTTCCTGGTCTGATTCAACTCTGACGATTACACACACACACACACAATATATTATATATATATATATATATATATTTCGTATGGATATGATTTTGTCACCCTGCAGGTGTACGCATTATAATGCACACAAACACACACACACATATATAAACAATGTGAGACCAGGCGCAGACATATATCCATTTGTTCAAGTACACATATATACAGAATTTAAATCCTGTTTCGGTGTTGAGACTGTGTGTAGCGAAGTTCTTTCAACAAGGTTTGACTGGGGTGTTCTTGGCTCTATTCACATCGGCCGTTTATGTCTCCAAATGGAATAGGACACACACACATACACGAATACACGCTCATATATATATATATATATATATATATATATATATATATATATATATAAATGTGTGTGTGTGTGTGTGTATATATATACGTAGTAATCCGTTGGTATAATCCAGGTGAGTCCTATTAACACAACATAGAATTTGAAATATGTTAAAAGTGACTCACAAAAGATCGCTCAATGTTTATTTTCATTAAACAGAACAAATTTTCTTTACAATAAGTTTTAATTTAGTAAATGATCATTTTCCCCTACGAATTTAATTTTAAAATTCGCAGGATTTTTAAAACTGTTTATGGTATCTGTTTGTAGTGTAGAGTTTGTTTGGAGAAAGAAAGAGAGAGTATGTTATAGGTGACTTATTGGGGGTGGGTATGGCGAGGAAAAGAAGTCACCTTACTGGAATCATATGATGGAGGTAGGAGAGTCTTGAAACCTATGAGCTGACCTACATCCTAATGGTCACCCAGTCCAAATTTAATTCGACGGGAATTCACGGAAATTGACGAAAACTTGAATAAACAATCAAGAGGTAATTTTGATAAAATAAAAGAGAGTTAATTCGGGATTATTGATATTAAACTCGTCCATATATCAGAGCTCAAAGTTTGGGGGAGAGTTTTTAAGGATTTGGAGTGAAGTTGGATATATATGTATGCGTTCCCATGCGTTTGTCCACGTTAATAATACCTACTCATATAGATGTCTGCACTAACATACACTTAGATATCTACATTTAAGCACATACATAGTAAAATTTGATTACACAAGAGTGGATATGCTGAATCGTATATAATGATTATATATAGGGTATAAGGATGATCTATATACATATCTATGTGTTTGTCTCCTCAAGTATACCTACACTAACATTTATATTCATACACACCCCAACGGGTGCCTCGGCGTAGCGTAATAGTTAGCAAGCTTGTCCTGTTACAACTGAATAGTGAGTTCGATTCACACTGGGTGCCCAATACTTTCGGCCATGTGTAACATCTAAGACACTCTTAGAAAATCAATACACACATCGATACATGCATACATACCACTGCACTCACATATATCAGCATATGTATCCAAATTTAAGAACTTCTTTAATTTTCCGTATTCTGTTGTTATGTGATATTTAATATATATATATATATATATATATATGTGTGTGTGTGTTGGTAAACGAATGCCAAAACGGGGGGGGACCTCGAAGTTCTTCAAACTATTAATGCATATATTGATGGATTTCGTCTTCCATATACAAAAGGTGAGTAAGAAATTCAATAAAAGCTGCTTAGAATTTTATTTCGAAAACACTGAATATATAAGGACGCTTAATATTCTATTTTTGACGTCCAGTGTCTCAAGCTGCATAGCCTCATCCAGCCTCCTTTTTTTCTTTTTATGACATATGTAATATTAAGACTATCGATAAAACCATTATTTGTCTGGATAAATTCCTTCCAGGGGCGAAACACATTACATAGCCATTTTTTTCCATTCTTATCATTCGATTACCTACTATTAATATGATTTATAAATTTAAACATCATTCCTCTTACATATATATATATATATATATATATATATATATATATATATATATGTGTGTGTGTGTGTGTGTGTGTGTGTGTGTTTCATTGAACGAGATTACCAAGCTACTTTAGTTTAGCTTTTTATTATGTGTTTATTGTTTACGTACAAGTGTCTTTTCTGGACTTAATTGGTGTAACAAATGTCCAAAATTGTTGGTACCGAGCGCTTTCGACTAAAGCTGTTAGCTATTGTACATATACAAGAAAACATGAAGTCTAAACAAGAGTACCTCTTCATAAAAAAACATGTATTTACGAGGTATTACTCACACACACATCCACACACACAAACAAAACAAACACACATATATATATATATATATATATATATATATGTGTGTGTGTGTGTGTGTGTGTGTGTTCCATAATTTTATTATATTATATATTATTATATAAAGTTCTATTGAAAGATCAAAAAGATGTATGACTGACACGCTTCTCCCTGACCAAATATTAGAATTTTTAAATGTCCTACTTCGCTGAACTGGAAATAATATTTTACTATTTTGCCATATTTTCCCTTTTATTAGTTACAGCTTCGTCAGAGTTTGAGAGAAAGCAGACAATCTGTTTTATTTCAATCTCTGACGAAGCTTTAATAAATGTGAAACATGCTAGATTGATATACGTTTCCTATTTTTTCTATCATCCTGTCGGATTCCAATCCATATTTGATCAACATTTGATATTTAACTCATAGTGTGTAGCCAGTGTAGCCGAAAATTGTCAATTTCAGAAAAAAAAAGGGCTGTGGTTAAGATAACTTATCCATTTTCGAAAGACGGGGTGTAGTCATAACATCTGACGAGACAAAATGGTGAGGAGGAACAAAGGAATATATAGTAATAAAATTTTTAATTAAATTTTAATTAAATTAAATAAAATGAAAAAAATGAAGGAACAAATAAAAGGATAAAACTTTGGGATAGTCTATAGTTAAAAATGGTTAAAAATGGGAATGTAGAAAAAAAAAAAAGAAGGTATAATGTAGATAAAAAATATAATATATATATAAATATATATACATATACAAATCCATATATATATATATATATATATATATATATATATATAATATAAAATATATATATTTAAAAGAAAAAAGGTACCATTATAATAAAATTATTTCACCAGAGTCCTTTTAAAGGATGCTGGATCATCAGATAGGTTTTTCCAAAAATGAAATGAAACGAAAAATGAAATTAAAATTGATGGGTAGTGTAAGTTTTTTTGTAATTTAACAGAGAGTGTAAGAGTTAAATAGACATGGTAGAGTATAGGGAGGGATTAATTTCATATCTCTCTCAAGTATACTTTATATATTAGGAGAGGGAGTGACCAGACCTTGATCTATTTAGATGGTTAAATTAACGGAAGTGATATATTGAAATGGGAGGGGAGACGGGAGAAAAGAAAAAGGAAAAAGGAAAAAGAAAGGAGAGGGAGAGGGAAGTAAAGAGAAAGAGGTTGTAATTGATTTTTAGCAATTTATGTAAAGAATAGATTTTAATGCTTGATAGAAATTTAGATGTCTAAAAAAATTTGATTTTGCTATCAATTTAAATCTTTAATTTTTTAAAGAAATAGTTTAGGGACTTAATATAAGTTAAATACTATATTTATTAACACATTTATAGAGCAATGATAATAGTTTGTTTACCCGACCAATCGTACTTTTTTAATATTGTAAAAATAGTTACGGTAACATCTTTATTAGTTTTACTTTTAATCTAATTTATGAATGCAATTTGTCATTATTTTTATATGGGTAATCTTACTTAAAGTTTAGCTTATATATATATATATATATATATATATATATATATATATGTGTGTGTGTGTGTGTGTCTGTGTGTGTGTGTGATCTGAAATCAGTAGGACCGGTAACTTTTCAGTACCCCATCATATGAGGAAATGAACATCGCTAAAATTAAAAATATTTAGAAAAAAAAAAAAACGAAGAATGAAAATGAAATAAAACGAAAAATACTGAAGAGTCAAAAAAAAAAAAAAGACAGAAAGTTGATGACAAGAACGATGAAGAGGAAAGAAAGATGGCAGGAAAGAATGAATAGAATAAAAGAAGGAAAAAAAAGGAAAGTGTAATAAATTGAATAAAATCAGGAAAGAAATAAAAGTAGCACAAAAGAGATAGAAGAAAAGAACTAAAGAAAGAAAGAAAACAAGCAATGAATAAAAGAAGGAATGGTATAAAGAGAAAAAAAGAAAAGAAAAAAGAAAGAAAAAAAAAGGAAAGAAAAAAATGAGAGAAAGGAAGAAAGTAAATGAAAAGAAGAGAAAAAAAGAAAGAATAGAATAAGAGCAAAAACAGGGAAATAAAAAAAAGAAAATAAAAGACATTAAAAAAGAAAGACAAAGAAAAACAGGAAAGAAATGGAATTAAAATTAGAATATAGAAAGAATATAAATGAATGTAGAGAAATAAAGTAGAAAGAATAAATTAAGAAAATAAGTAAACAGGAAAGAAAGATTGAAGGAAATAAAGGAAAGAAGAGAAAAAGGGAAATGAGAGAGAAAAGTAGAAAGAAAGAAATGAGAGAGAAAAGTCAGAGAGAAAGAAGGAAATAAAAGATGAAGAAAAAGAAGAAAATGAGAGATGAAGAAAAAGAAGGAAATAAAAGAGAAAAGATGAAGAAAAAGAAGGAAATGAGAGAGAAAACTAGAAGAGAAAGAAGGAAAAAAAGAAAGATCGGAGAGAAAGAAGGAAATAAGAGATAAAAGAAAAAGAGAAAGAAAGAAAATAAGAGAGAATCGTAGAAGAGAAAGAAAGTAATGAGAGAGAAAAGTCGACGAGAAAGAATGGAAACGAGAAAGAAAAAAAATGAAGAAAAGGAAGAAAATAAGAAAGAGAACTAGAAGAGAAGGAAGGGAATAAAGAAAAGCCGGAAAGAAAGAGAAAGAAAAAATTAAGAGATAAAAGAGAAAGAAAATAAGAGAGAAACGTAGAAGAGAATGAAAGAAATAATCGAATATAGAAATAAAATAAATGAAATAATAATATTTGAGAAAGAATTCTTTGAATCTCTTCTGGACTTTCAAGAGGTTGAAAGATGTTGAAATAAATATTTCATAATGCCGGCAAATATTCTGCATATCGTTCAGAATTCATATCAAGTGTTCCATATTTTCAACTTCTTCTCACTCTGGTCCGTTGTTGCGTTCCTTATCGATGACATATCTAGATGTAGGACTCTGCTCCCAGAACTATCAAATAAAACTATTTCTTTTTTTTTTCCAGAAATAAATAAATGGTTAACGAAAAATAATTAAATAAAATAAACTTACCTAGAAGGTCTGCAACAGCGAGATTGACGAGGAAATAGTTAGTGACACTGCGCATGCGTCGATTCACCAGCAGCACGAGAAGAACCAGAAGATTGCCGAGAAGGGCAAGCACAAAAACCGGAACGTAAATACAAAGGAGAACGATACGATCCGGCTGTTGGTAAGTGTAAAAATTGGTCCTCCAATCGGTACTGCCCAGGACTCGCGATAAATTCGAAGTGAGCGTATCACTGGAATCCGTATTTGTCCAGTTCATCTTGTTGTGTCTGTGTGTTGTTCTTCCAGATAAAATCTGGTCACTTCCAATAATCCGACAGATAATCCAGGGTAAATCCAATCAGTAATGCAAATAAATACAGGAAGAATGAAATAAATTAAAAAGAAAGGAAGAGCTTTAAATAAAACTAATTAAATGAAGTGAGACGAAAAAATATTGATTTAAAAAGCGATCAGTTAGTTTTTTTAGACTTGATTGATGTTAGCTGATTTTCATGTTAGGCATTAGTTTTGTCTGGTGGATTTTACAACGGATTTCGACCATTAGTTTTGTCTGGTGAATTTTGGAACTTACTCCGACCATTATTTCAATTCCCTGATTATTCAAAGTTAATTTCAAAGTTTTCTTTTTAAACTTTGATTTTATGTAACTGACATGATTATTGTTTTAATGTAACACTATAATTTTAAGATATTATAGTTTATATAATTTTTCCTCTTTCGTTTTAACTTAGCCATCTTGGCCATTTTGTTATTAGATTAAATAATTCATTCATAAAAGTAAATGGAGTACTGTGACTTCATAAACTCCTGCCATTCAATTATATCGATGGCGTAAAATTACTATGCAATTGTAAGTTCATGAAGAATTAATCCTTAAGAAAATAGAACATATTTTTTTAATAAAACGAAGTTTGCTGAGTTGTTTTAGAAAATTGTTTTTGTTTCTATTATTGTTTCTTACGAATGACGTTGGAAAAATAGCAACATCCAATTTAAACTTGTATATTTGTATAAGAAAAATAAATAATTACATGCCCAACTTTCTTTTAGAATTCTGATCTTTACGATTTGACGTATGAAAAATCGCCATTTTTTTTTCTTAATAACAAACAACCAGACTTATGAAATCGAAGCTTTAAAATTTCCTTTCGGACACGAAAAAAAAAGTAGGTATTACATTTTTGGTTGTTTGACTTTTAGTTTCTTTCTCTTGTTTATAATTTAAATCTTATTGGTTTCAATTGTCATTATGAACGTTATATGTCTGTTATTTTCTTCAGCGTTTTCCGAATTAATTTTGTTGGGAAATATTTGGTGGCATTATCTAATGCCGTTGCGTTCTGCCACCATTATGCTTGCGCCATGAGAATCCCAACACACACTTGAGAATAGTAACAACAGTGGGCGATGCTTATTAGCTTCTTGTCTCATTACTGCATCTCTGTTTACGACTGTTAATCGGTTCTCGTTGATGGCATTTCAGGAAACGTCGCAAGGTAAATGCATTTCTAATCTTTCCCGTTGAAAGAAATTTCTCAGGCAGTCAGCATCAATACTGGAAAATAATTAAACAATTGCATTAATAATATAACATTAACAAGAAATAGAAGGACGGAAGCAACAACAGAAATAATAATTGCCAGTTTCTTATTAATAAGAATTATTTTCAAGATCAGTGTTTTAACTATTATCAGTAAAAACGACGTACGTTCATTAGTTTAGATTACAATTAATTTTATATTAACTATTAACTTGTACTTAAAATGTCATCAATAAAACATGTTTCAGAAGCAGTATTTGATTTTTAAATATTATTTTTGTTGCATTAAGATGAGCAACATTAAATGAACAGCAAATGTATCTCGGAAAGAAAATAATGTCTTAACCAAGATGTTGACAACCCACATAATCGCAAACAAGTACTTAGGAAGAAAGCTCCAATTATTACTGGAAAGAGCGATAACAACTAATGATTTTGTGAAACTATTTTCCTGAAAATTGAACTGAAAGTGGCACTGGTAAATCGGTCACCGATAGCCAATTTTCCTCATAAGGAAACAGCTAATATTAGTATCACCATTAATTGCGTATTTATTAAGCTTGACTAAAGAAGGCTGTCCCGCGATGAAGTACTTCGACCATTGCACTAAAGAAGGAATGCCGATCCAAATTCATTCTCTAAAGCTTCAATCGGCCCCAGGGAAAAGCGCCAAGGGAAGTGAACATTTCTTGTCACTAATCCCATGTACTAGTGGAATTCATACTTTAAACTCGGTCATATTCCATATTACGTTCGAGTGGCCGTATGGAATAAATCCTTAAGACCATATTTATTGGATGTTACAATTACTAGTAAAGGCTGAACATACACACGCGTGTATTCGCGCATACCAGACACACACACACACACACATATATATATATATATATATATATATATATATATATATATATATATATATATATATCGAGAATCGATTTTTATATATTTAATTTTCGTGCTTTCCCAAGAAACTCTAATCTATATGATTTGGATTTCATAAAAAAGAACTTCTTTCATATATCAAGTGTTTGTTGGACGTGTGCGAACATGGCTCTCCACAATTTCCTGTTCTTTATGTTTCTCCCTCACGGATACAAATTCGCAAACCTATTGCCATTCTATCGCTATTTTCATAGGAAATGCTCAGTTAAGCTCTTATCTTTATTTCCACCAGTTCAGACCTTTATAACTATGACACCCCATGTTTCGTCCCCAAGGTCAAATCAATCCCTTCGAATTTATATGTAAAATGTCCTATGTGACCTCTCTTTCCCGCCAAAACGATACTTTTTAGGACAGACTGCGGCGGGGAAACTTCTATGTCTATTACGATCTGTATCCTTGCATTTACCCTGCCTTCCCCTTTCAACACGAATCTTTATCGTTGATTTCAAATTTTACCATACATCTTTAGTCTTGTCTTCCACTTTTACCGCTGCTCTTCATCCTTGCCTTCCACTTTTACCACTCCTCTTTAATCTTGCCTTCCACATTTGCCGCTGCTCTTTATCCTTGCCTTCCACTTTTACCACTATTCTTTATCCTTGCCTTTCACTTTTACCGCTTCTCTTTATCCTTGCCTTCCACTTTTACCGCTCCTCTTTATCCCTGCCTTCCACTTTTACCGCTGCTCTTCATCCTTGCCTTCCACTTTTACCACTCCTCTTTAATCTTGCCTTCCAATTTTACCGCTCCTCTTTATCCCTGCCTTCCACTTTTACCGCTGCTCTTCATCCTTGCCTTCCACTTTTACCACTCCTCTTTAATCTTGCCTTCCACATTTACCGCTCCTCTTTATCCCTGCCTTCCACTTTTACCGCTACTCTTTATCCTTGCCTTCCACTTTACTGCTACTCTTTATCCTTGCCTTCCACTTTTACCGCTACTTTATCCTTGCCTTCCACTTTTACCGCTCCTCTTTATCCTTGCCTTCCACTTTTACCGCTACTCTTTATCCTTGCCTTCCACTTTTACCGCTACTTTATCCTTGCCTTCCACTTTTACCGTTCGTCTTTATCCTTGCCTTCTACTTTTACCGCTCCTCTTTATCCTTGCCTTCCACTTTTACCGCTACTCTTTATCCTTGCCTTCCACTTTTACCGCTACTTTATCCTTGCCTTCCACTTTTACCGTTCGTCTTTATCCTTGCCTTCCACTTTTACCGCTCCTCTTTATCCTTGCCTTCCACTTTTACCGCTCCTCTTTATCCTTGCCTTCCACTTTTACCGCTACTCTTTATCCTTGCCTTCCACTTTTACCGCTACTCTTTATCCTTGTCTTCCACTTTTAACGCTACTCTTTATCTTTGCCTTCCACTTTTACCACGCCTCTTTAGGCTTGTCTTTCACTTTTACCATCCTTTTTATCCTTGCCGTCCTCTTTCACTGCACGTTCTTATCCTTGATTTAGACTTTTACCACACATCCTTATCCTTAGTTTCCCCTTTTACCACACCTCTTTATCTTTACCTTCAAATTTTACCGCTCGTCTTTATCCTTGTCTTACACTTTTAACTCTCCTGTCTTCTTTGCTTTCGTTGCTCTGCATGTCAGTTTACACCTATAAATATTTCTTACCTTTCCTTTTCATTGATTTAACTTAGTAGAAAAAGTATATGAAATCATTCATCTAATGGGAGATGCAGATGTTTCGCTCTTTCGGAAGGTCTCAAATCAACATTTGAAAGTCCAGCTTTTATGTGTTGCCAAGCAAGGAAGTTTTCTGACTTTTTCACCCATACTGACATCCACATTAATTTCATACATATATTTAAGAAACTTAGCTGAGTCTTGCACATGCCCAAATGGGGAGTTCTGAATACGGTGTAGACAGACTGATTTGCTACAATTTTATAAACAAGGAAAGTCTATATTTATGACGGGAAAATTGAGTTTCGAAATATTAAATTTTGTCTTGGCAGGAACATCGACCGCTCGCACACGCAACTATCTCAGCCACGAGGAAGGCTCGTCAGATTCAGTTTTATGTTTATTTATATGCGTTGGTCTAAACCTCCCTACTCATGTTTGTGTTCGCACGTGCGTGTCTGAGTGTGTATTCGTTTTTCTCTATCAATCAGTTCATTATCTGTCTATATCTCTCATTCTATCCATATATCTCAGTTTGATCATATATCTTTGTTTTGTACCTATGGGGGTAACTGGCCAGGTTTCCAACGGCAACAATGGCAATGGTAATAATGATGAGGATGGCTATGATGCTAATGACTAATCTCAGCCTGATATCTATCTATCTATCTATCTAT